TTTTTTTTTTTTTTTTTTAATTTTCCTAGAAACAACCAAGCAACGCTTAGCCTGGCGGTGGGCAGGGCTAGTAAAGCATGGCGGGCCGCCAGGCTTATAATATACTGGGGGAAACCCTGAACTAGGTGTTTCACAACATGAGCTGGTCATTTATTTTCAGTGGGGTTAAGGAAGGTTGTGCACTTCTTACTAACAGCAGGTTGCAGCCAATCATGTCAGCAGTTTGGAATGTGAGGTCAGACGGGGAAGTGTTCCATCAATGTTATCCAGCATGTAAAGAATAACAGGTGATTTGATTTAGACCCATGCCTGTACTGAATTTTAAAATAGAAATTTTGGAAATGGAAATGAACTTATAGAAGTTTACACCTATTGTAAACTTCTAAAAAAATTGTTATAAAAAAGATCATTTTTATTAAAATTCACACAACAGAGAAATTGCTTATTAAAAAATGGACCTGTAGAACTTCTGTTGCTACTTCAACACACATAACTGATGAGATCAAAACTGAGGATGGAAAAATTACAGAAAAAAATCAATAACTAAAATATTCACATTAGTTTGTCCCACTGTAACTTGGTGTGGACAATCATACATGTTTTGTTTGATGTCAGGTGTGTGTACCTGGGTACTTTTTGCCAACTATAATATGTCCATGTTAATGTCTTCATAACCTTGTCTGAGCTTCAGGAATGTAAATCTCAATGCTGTCAGCGCTCTCTGTTGCTGAGTTCTGGCGTACAGACGCCGCCCTCTTGGCAGCCATCAGCCTCTTTCTCGCCTCCTGCCGCTGCTTCTCTGAGCTCTCCAGTGAACGGTCTCTGGCAAGTGGTGGGTGGTGGTGGGGGACCACCTTGTGTGGTTTTTTTGGCACAGGAGGTGGAAGTCGCCTCTCCTGGTAGAGGAAATCAGAAGTGGGTAAGAAAGTAAGGAAGTAGGAATTTCTGGATAATTACATATATCAAGCTATAATGCAGTTTTATTTTTTGTGTATGTTTGACTGTAATTATAAACATCAGCTCTCCTGATTCCTTTTTACAACTGAGTGATTGCTGACCTTGTCTATCAGTTCCTTGCTGTTTTGATCTCACATACACTTTTTAAGCTTTTACTTTCAACCTCACTAAGACAAGAGCTAGAAGGAACCACTTTCAGACAAACCAAAAGGATATTCATGCATTTACATAGTCCTTTATGTTATTACAAAATAATAAAACTTGACCAAACATAATAAAGTTCAGTGTTTGGAACAATTAAAATGTTTATTTTCTTTAACTGTAACATCCATTTTTTTAAACCAAAATCTCTAAAAAATTTTAGTTTTTGTCCTGTAGTCAATTTTAATGCTTATGGTTTAAGTATATTTTCTGCTTTCTATTTTGACATGTTTTGAAATACTGTACTTTACACTGAAGATATCTTAGAAGTATAACACTATCAGTGACATACTCATCTGTTCATTTATCTTGCCATTTGCAGAAGCAAGACACAAAACATAAAGCCACACATGAAAGATGGCTGCAGGTGGCAGAAGGAAGCATGAAGAGGTGGATGAAAAGACAGACATGATGGATCCTTGGAGGCCCAGATTGGTCAAGGCCCTGTGGTGTTTTTGGTTATGCTGATTGATGTGTGGCTGTTTGCAAGCGCCTTCACTGTTAACATACAAAAGAAGGAAAACAATTAAGAAGCAGACAGCAATGAGAGCAAATGATATGTCAGAGAAGACAGTGCTTAGAAAAAACAAAAAGATAAACTTATACAGCAGATATACTAAGTAAAGAATATCTGTGCATTGCATGGACACAAAACCATGCATGAGTCAAATTATCTGTTATTCCTGTAATAAAATATCAAAACATCCACCATCTGAATTTTGTTAGTCTGTTTGACAAAGTGATGCACACTGATTTATATACTTGGTTACTCAAAAGCATTATATCCATGGAACAAGGAAAACTTATATGTAGCAGGTTTGTAAAGTTTTGCGGAATGCAAATGTCACAGAAATGACATTTGCAGCTGCTGAAAACAGAAGTTTCATTACGTAGGGTTGAAGGGAAGTCGACATCCTGAAAAACGGCTAGACATCAGATTGAGGTCCCCTCAACAGACTGAATTTAAACCTCATAAAACGACTCAGGGGTCACTGAGCAAGGGGCCCAGTACACACTAGACAAGTCATCCGTTTTCTGAAAATGGAACATTTCCAACCTCATTTTACACTGAGATAGAAGCTTAGACAATTGAAACAAGTTAGGGAATGAGAGCATTTATTTTAGCTTAGCCACATTCAAGTACAACTGATGTGAGCAAAATAAACTGCAAGAATTAAACAGATGTTCATTATCTAGCTTGCACATGCAACAAAATGATAAAAATGTTAATTGGAGTCTGATGTTATAATCCATATTTTTATACATTTTTTCATTTGAAAAACAATTTAAATAAAGAAAAATAGTTCATCTTAAACTATGGTCTTAGTTCAGAATACTTAGGTGTTGAACTCAGCAACATACTCAGCACTGTTGCTGATTTGCAAGCACTGCTGCCAACATTTAATAGTTTAAGTTGTTTTAAAAGCCATCATTGTGCTCTGTTAGAGTCCCAGTCAAACCAGCAATTCCCATTTTTCCAGCACAAGAATTTCCTTCTTTTTCTGCAAACTCACTAGAATGAAGCTTCTTTTTTGGTCAGTTCTAAAACTCAAAGCTATCTACAACAATTTGACCAGAAAGTCTATAACAAAAACGACTTAAGAGTAAATGAGCAAGTTTGACCAGAAAAGTCAGCTGTTGGCCCACAGTAGAACAGCTGACATGCAGTCATGTCATTGCGGGACATTTGTTTTCGCACACATCCTTCAAGGTCAACAAGGGTGTGTTCACACTGCAGCCTAAAGTGACCCAAATCCAATTTTTATTTTTTACGTAATGCAACCTGTATCCGATCTTTTCATGGCAATGTGAACAGCACAGGTCGGATTCTTTTTCCAATGTGACCCATATCCGATTCAAATGCGACCTAAAGTTCAGGTCGCCTTCATCTGACCTGAACGTCACCATTTCTCAACAAATCTCACTATTCTGCGTCCTGATACGCCCAAGCGGTAAGAAAAACAACAACCATGACGGATTATATGAGGATTAAGATGTTAATAATATGCTTCTCCGGTTGGACAACAACTTCAAATATGTAAGCTAAGCTCC